TTTTTGGTTTTTCGAGACAGGGTTTCTCTGTGTAGCTTTGCGCCTTTCCTGGTACTCGCTTTGTAGACCAGGCTGGCCTGTTTTGTTTTTTATTTGCATGCTTGAGACAGGGTCTTATATAGCCTAGACTGGCCTTGAATTCTCTACTAGACCTAGAACTCCTGTACTCCCTTCCTCTGATTGTTGGAGATTACATGTAGCTCTGGCTGTCTGTGGAACTCACTATGTAGACTAGGCTGGTCTCAAACTCAGAGATCCACCTGCCTCTGCCTCCTGAGTGCTGGGACTAAAGGAATGCACACTATACTCAGCAATATGAATGTTTTTGTTTGTTTGTTTGTTTTGTTTAATTTGGTTTGGTTTTTCGAGACAGCGTTTCTCTTTGTAGCCCTGGCTGTCCTGGAACTCACTCTGTACACCATGCTGGCCTCGAACTCAGAGATCCACCTGCCTCTGCCTCCCTGAGTGCTGGGATTAAAAGTATGCACCACCTGGCCAGTATGAATGTTCTTAATGCTGCCCATTTGTATTGTTTAAAGTGGCCAACATGGTCAGTTTTATGTGCTTTTTGTTGTCTGCAATACTCGCTTGAACCCAGGGCCTCTGCATGCTAGCCCAGTGTGCTACCATGGAGATAGCACATTTCCATGTTGGCATTATATGTCTAAGCCTTTACTTGACCCTATGTTTATTTTTACACTTATTTATTTATTATTTGTGTGCATGTCCTAACACAGATGTGGAGGTCAGAGGACAACCTTCAGGACTCATTTCTCTCCTTCTAACATGTGGATTCCAGATGTGACACTCAAGTTATTAGTGGCAAGTGCCTTTGTGTGCTGAGCCATCTTCCTGACCCTGATATATGTATTTTTACCGCAATTAAAAAACAAACAAACAAACACAAAAAACAACTGAGTATGGTGCCACCTTTGTTTTGTTTTTTTGAGACAGGGTTTCTGTGTGTGGCTTTGGAGCCTGTCCTGGAACTCACTCTGTAGATCAGGCTGGCCTCTGCCTCCCAAGTGCTGGGATTAAAGGCATGTGCTACTACACCCGGCTATGGGTATCTTTAATACCAGAAGTAGGGAGGCAAAGGCAAGTGAATCTCTGTGTTTGAAGCCAGCGTGGTCTACAGTGAGTTCCAAGCCAGCCAGAGCTACAAAATGAGACCTTGTCTCCAAGCCCTCCCTGCAAAAAGGACATGTGTGTGAATGTGCGCAAGTGCGTGTGTGTAAACTAAAGCTTTTTTTTTTTTAATTGTTTTTTGTTTGCTTCCTTTTATTTATCGTTTTTAGACAGGTTCTATATATCCCTACTGGGACTGGAATAAATAAATTTTAACTAAAACCAAGGACCAAGTGCCCTCTCTGCTTCCCCTCGAGTGTCCCCGTGGAGAATTGCAGGTCGCCTCCCTAACCACAGACTTCCCATTGTTCTCCAATCCCTTTGGAGTCCAGGCTGCGAGCTGGAATTCTTGATCCTCCCAGGAGAGCTGGGTGGGTTCAGATACCTTGCAGAAGCGGCGTAGCGAGAAGCTGCTTCTTTTATTCCGTAAAAGCTGCCTTTTCTCGGTGTCATTGCAGCTTCGCACGTGGCCAACAGACAGCGCACCCCCTCTTTGGGGAATGACCGAGTCTCGGCGGTGCCCCGCGGCTTCCCGCAGTCCTCACCCGGACACGTGGCAGCCCTTCTCAGCCCTTCTCAGCCCTGCACACCGAAGTCCCCCTGGTGGACGCTTCCGGTTGAAACTCGCTGTGGCCGCTGGCTCCAGTCTGAGCCCTACAGCTGGCGCCAGCTTGCAGGGAAGGAGGAAAAGCCATGGGAGGGAAGTTGCATCCACAGCCTGGTAGAGCTATCACATCACTGCCTCCACGGAAGTCCTTCCTTTGGCCCCTGAAAGAATTCGGATATTTCCAAGCATAAGCCGCGGGGGCTGAGGCCTCAGACACTTGAGTCCCATGGTCCTAATCTGTCTGCTGTTTCCCTAAATTTTTACTGAGTCCCACTGAGGCAGGATAGAAAGACGGGAAAATCATCCTCATGTGGGACATAAAAAGAGTCCCTGGTTGAAACCTCAGTTTCTCGAGTTTCAGCACAATTACCATTTTCTGTGAAGTGGCCAACATAATGTTTCTTTCATATATTTTTCTTTCTTTCCTTTTTTTTTTCTTTTCAAGACAAAGTTTCTCTGTAGCTTTGGAGCCTATCCTGGAACTCGATCTGTAGACCAGGCTGGCCTCGGACTCGCAGAGATCCACCTGTCTCTGCCTCCCGATCTTTTATATACTTTCAAATAAAATGTTAAAATATTGCCGGGAGTGGTGGTGCATGCCTTTAATCCCAGTACTTGAGTGACAGAGACAGGTGGATCTCTGTGAATTTGAAGCCAGCCTGGTCTCCAAAGTGAGTTTCAGGACAGCCAGGGCTGTTACACAGAGAAACCCTGTCAGGGGAAAAAAAAAAAAAAGTTAAAATGTCCATGAACTATCTATCCCTTAACTACTGTGTGTACACTGTCTTTATGTTGGCCACCATGACAGGGAACTTAATTGTGTTGAGACTCTGACGCTAGGACTTCAACCAGGCTCCAGAATGGTGTTCCCATCTGCCTGGGAGTCCCATGGGCTTGAAAACTCATGCACATCTCCCTGCAGCCCCTCTGTCTACTGGGCAGCTGTGCAGCCTCCCCACCCCCTCACTAAGCTGCAGCCTGGCTTTCATCTCTCATCACTTTCCCTTCAATCCTTTGGAATTCCCCCCTCCTCCTTCAGCGTCTGGAAAGTTCCCACAGTCCTCACCTTCCATCCAGCATTACTCACCAGTTTCCCTGGGCTGCGGATTCTGCATCTAAAATGGCAGCTTTTCTCAGACTTCAGTCCTTCCTTGCTGATCTGGGACTTTCCCAAACAGGGTTTTCTGCCGGAACTTTGTTATCTGCATCTCCGAGTGCCTGCCCCACCACTAACCCTATCTCCACTCCGATCATGCAGGTCCCCTACTGCCTCAGTTACCCATCTATTGCTGTGACAAAATACCCTGAGGATAGCAAGATAAAGAAGGGTTTGTGCTGACTCACAATTCCAGGTTACAGCCCACCAAGGAGGGGGTGGGGTGGGATGTGAGGTGGTGGTAGTGGTGGTGTTGTGTGCGTGCGTGAGTGCGTGCGTGCGTGTGTGTGTGTGTGTGTGTGTGTGTGTGTGTGTGTGTGTAAAGCAGGAACTTAAGGACCTTTAGTTCAGTCCAGGAAATGGTCCTCCCAGTTAGGGTAGGTCTTCTTACCTCAATTAACTAAATCCAAATAAGATAATCCCTCAAAGACATGCCCCGAGCTTGTCTCTGGCTATTATAGATCCTGTCAAATTGATACTCAATCACCATACCTTATTGTGACCTTCCTCTTACATTGGGGACAAGATCTGTGTGTGTGTGTGTGTGTGTGTGTGTGTGTACATGCATGCTATGATACACATGTGGAGGTCACAGAACAACTTGTAGGGGGTCAGTTCTCTCCTTCCACCCTGAATTTATATTGTCAGGCTTGAGAACAAGAGCCTTTACCCACTGAGCAATCCTGCTGACCCCAGATTTTTATGTATATGTATGGGAATTTTGCCTGCATGTACATCTATGTACCACGAGCATGCTGGTGCCCACAGAGGACGGAAAAAGCTATAGGATACCCTGGAACAGGCGTTACAGACAGTTGTTATCTGCCATGTGGGTGGTGGGAATTAAATCCGGGTCCTCTGGAAGAGCAGTCACGCTCTTAGCCATCTCTCCAGCCACCCAAACTGTGACTTTTAGAATTTGTCATTCAGGGTTTAGCTTTGATGACCTCCCTTGTTGTTTTGGTTTCTTCTCACCCTATCCATATACACCCTATGCTAGGTTAACTTCGCAGTCCTTCAAGTATCCTCCCAGGCTGCATGTGCAGGTGTGCCAGATGTGAAGTAGCCTGCCTGTACTCCCAGCACCCGGGAGACTGAGGCTGAAGGATTACTATTCAAGGCTGCATGAGACATAAAAAAACAGTTCCTTGAACTCTCCTGCTGTGGGATAATCTTTCTGACCTTTTGGTACTATGTGAAGATGTGCCTCTGTTTCACCTCGCCTGACTAAGGCACCCTCTGATTGAATTAATAAAGAGCTGAATGGCTAATAGTTAGGAAGGAGAGGATGGGTGAGACTTCTGTACAGAGAGGAACTCTTGGAAGAATCTGAAGGGCACAGGATTCAGCAGAGAGACTCGGAGGAAGTAGAACACGCTGTACTGAGGAGAGGTAACAGCCATTAGGTAGGGCATAGATTAATATAAATGGGCTAGGCTCATTTAAGTGGGTTTTTTGTTTGTTTTTTGGTTTTTCAAGACAGGGTTTCTCTGTGTAACAGCTCTGGCTGTTCTGGAACTTGCTTTGTAGAGCAGGCTGGCCCCAAAATCACAGAGATCTGCCTTCCAAGTACTAGGATTACAGGCATGTACCACTACTGCCCAGCTTAATTTAAGTTTTTAGAGCTAGTTGGGAACAAGCCTGAGCTAAGGCCAAGCTTTTATACTTAATAAAAGTTTCCGTATTTCATTATTTGGGAGCTGGCAGTAAAAAAAAAACAAAAAACAAAAACAAAAAAACTTGTTACACTCCCCTCTGGCATTTCACCTAAAATGCCTCCTGTTGGCACCTGCATAAAGGCCACGTCTGCTACGCCACACCTTGCCAGTGCCGCCACCTGTCCATCTTCCGAAGCCATTTCATCAATCTTTCTCACTAGCCTGGGGCAGGAATTATATCCCGTTCCTTAGTGTGTACTCTGCACACAGAGCAGGCTTTTAAACATTCCTTTAAAAAAATGGGTCCTGTTGGGCTTGGCCTGGTAGCATATGCCTTCAAACCAAGCACTCAGGAGGCAGAGGCAGGCTATGTGAGTTCAAGGCTAACCTGGTTAATAGTGAGTTCCAGAACAGAGAGAGATTGTTCAATTTGGAAGGGAAAACACCAGCATCCCTTGGACAGGTTTATTGCAGCTGAAGTTGTCCTGTAGCCACATAGCTTCTAGTACAGGCTGGGTGACATCTTTCCAGTCACAAGGCCCTTTGTCTCAGCAAGACAGATAAACACCGGTTCCTTCTGCAAGGCAATTCAGCACTGAACAGTAGCCTCTAGAGGGCTCTGCTGCTGGATCCGGATCAGGCTCTCTGGAATGTTTGTTTGCACACCTGGCCTTCACAGAACATTTCCTGTGATAGGGAGGGAGAAAAGAAGAAAAGAAAACTTGGTGTACATTCTCAGCATGTCTGATACCAAATGTTTGGGGGTTCTGCCTTCTGACACCAAATGCAGGGTCTTCTCCGCCCTTACTTCTCCCACTCGGACACAAAATGGGTGTCAACAATTTAATCCTGACGGTCCCTCCTGGAGTTAGTGTAAACCCACAAACAAAGGCACAGTTTTATACTTTTTTTTGAGACAGGGTCTCTCTACACAGCCCTGGCTATCCTGGAACTCACTATGTAGACCAGGCTGGTTTCAAACTCACAAAAATCTGCTAGCCTCTGCCTCCCGAGCACTGGGATTAAAGGCGTTTGGCACCATACCTGGCCCCAGTTTTATACTTTCTTTTTTTTTTTTTTTTTTTTTTTTTTTTTGGTTTTTCGAGACAGGGTTTCTCTGTGTAGCTTTGCGCCTGTCCTGGAACTCACTTGGTAGCCCAGGCTGGCCTCGAACTCACAGAGATCCGCCTGGCTCTGCCTCCCGAGTGCTGGGATTAAAGGCGTGCGCCACCACCGCCCGGCCAGTTTTATACTTTCTAAAAGTAGAATTTTATACCTTCTAGACTGTGTTTTAGAACTATTGATTAGTTTGAGCTGTAACCTGCAGTCATGAAATTCTGGTTGTAAAACAAATCAACGCCCCCTCTGTGAGGAGTAAGGTCGCAAAGCAGCAAGAGGCAGTGACCGAGCCATGCCTCTCGAGGGGACAGGACGCACTATGGACTTGAGGTTTGGTTGTTTTTTTTTTGGCTTTTCAAGATAGGGTTTCTCTGTGTAACAGTCCTGGCTATCCTGGAACTCGCTTTGTAGACCAGGCTGGCCTTGAACTCACAGAGATCCGGTTGCTTCTGCCTCCCGAGTGCTGGGATTAAAGGCATGTGCCACCACTGCCCGGCTTGAGTTTTATCAACAGCAGACTCAGCCCTGAATCTCTATTATTCCTGGGATTTCATATAGTCCAACTTAATCTCCAACTTGTGTAGCTGAAGTTGACCTTGAACTTCTGATGCACCTGCTGCCATCTCCCAAGTGCTAAGCTTACAGATGTGGGCTCAAATTTAGGGTTGTGCACGTACTGAGCAAGCACTCTACCAGCCAAGCTACACCGCCAGCCCCTAAAATAGATACTTAGATACTTAAATCAAGGATGTGTTGTTGTTGTTTTTGTTGTTGTTTTTCAAGACAGGGTTTCTCTGTGTAGCTTTGCGCCTTTCCTGGATCTCGCTCTGTAGACCAGGCTGGCCTCGAACTCACAAAGATCCGCCTGGCTCTGCCTCCAAGTGCTGGGATTAAAGGCATGCGCCACCACCGCCTGGCAGAAGGATGTGTTTTATTAAAATGTTGGTCCATCAGCCAGATGGAACATGAAACAGCCAGCTCACTACCTTAATATATATATATTTTTAAAATACATGGTAAATTTAGCCTAGAGTGGTGTCACACGCCTTTAATCCCAGTGCTCAGGAGGCAAAGGCAGACAGATCTCTCTGAGTTTGAGGCCAGTCTGGTGTACATAGAGAATTCCAGGATAGCCAGGGCTGTATAGAGAGACCCTGTCTCAAAACAAAACAACAACAACAAAACAAAAACAAAAACCCCAAAGAAATAAAGTCAAAAATAAAACTACATGGTGAATTCAACATAAAAACTATCTAGAAGCCGGGCGGTGGTGGCACACGCCTTTAATCCCAGCACTCGGAGGCAGAGCCAGGTGGATCTTCATGAGTTCAAGTCCAGCCTGGGCTACAGAGCGAGATCCAGGAAAGGGGCAAAGCTACACAGAGAAACCCTGTCTAGAAAAACCAAAAAAAACAAACAAACAAAAAAACCCAAAAAAACACAACTATCTAGAAAGCTATACAATATTCTTTTTTTAAGATTTATTTTTATTTTTTAGATCTGTGTATATGTGTGTCTGTGTGGGAGTATGTGCACATGAGTACTGTTACCCTCAGAGGCCAGAAAAGGGTGTTGAATCCCCGAGAGCTGGAGTTAGAGGAAACTGTGAGCCACCATGTGAGTGCTGGAGGTCAGTACCTTCTCATCTGCTCTTCACTGAGCCATCTCCAGCCCCTGTAAAAGGTTCTTTAAAAAAATTATATATATTCTTTTTTTTTTTTTTTTTTTTTGGTTTTTCAAGATAGGATCTCCCTGTGTAGCTCTGGCTGTGCTGGAACTTGCTCTGTAGACCCACCTGCTTCTGCCTCCCAAATGCTGGGATGAACGGCATCTGCCCCCCAGCACCTGGCATATGTTCCTATTTTTATGTGCGTGGGTGTCTTGTCTGCAGTGATGTCTGTGCACACATACCTGAAGAGCCCGAGGAGGGCAGAGGAGGGATTAGATCCCCTAGGACTCAAGTTTCAGACAGTTGTGACCCACCATGTGGCTGCTGGGAATTGGGGTCCTCTGGAAGAGCAACCAGTGCTCTTAACCACAGAGCCATGGCTCCAGTCCCAGAAAATGTTCTTTTTTAAAAAAGGTTTATTTATTTAAGCATATGAGTGCTCTATTTGCATCTATGCCTGCATGACAGAAGAGGGCATCAGACAGGATAGATGGCTGTGAACCACCATGTGGTGGCTGGGAATTAAACTCAGGACCTCTGGAAGAGCAGCCAGTGCTCTTAACTGCTAAGCCATCTCTCCAGCACCACCACCCCCCCGAAAATATTCTTTTTTTTTTTTTTAATTTATTTATCTATTGTGTATACAGTGTTCTGCCTACATGCCAGAAGAGGGCACCAGATCTCATTACAGATGGTTGTATGCCACCATGTGGTGCCTGGGAATTGAACTCAGGTCCTCTGGAAGAGCAGTCAGTGCTCTTAACCGCTGAGCCATCTCTCCAGCCCTCCGAAAATATTTTTATATTGAATAAAAAAGCAGACTATTCTAAGCAGGAAGTTATGAAGGTAACTTGCAAAAGTTAAAAAATGTTCATGGTTTCCTTTTTTTTTTTAACATTTCTTTTAATATTGCTATCATTGCTTGAAGTATCAGAACAAAGGCCACTCATCTGGGACTCATGTCAGTGTTGTTCTCAACCCTCATCAGAGCAACTTCCTCTTGCAGTAAACGGTAATTAACACAGAGACCCACAGTTGGACAATGGGCAGACAGTGAGAGGCCTTGGAGCCCTCATACTGACTGGGATGCCTTAAGACACCCCTCGAGGCTCAGGATCTATGCAGAAGGACAGAAAGATGGTGGGAGCCGGAGGTGGTGGACAACGCCAGGGAAGCAGCATCTCCAAAACACAACGGGCTGATGCACGTATGAACTCAGAGACCGGGACAGCATGCACGAGACCTACATAAACTCAAGCCAGACAAAATCCCACCAGGGAGAAAAAATGGCCAAAGTCCAGGCCCTAGCCAAGAACCTATTTGCAATTGATAACTTCTGGGGAAGGGGGAAATTAGTTTTCTCCAATGGCACTGGGTATTCTCATCTACGCTCAGGGCAGACCTCATGCTCAGACGAAGTGGATCAATGCAAAACTGACTCCATGTTTTTGCTGTTATGGTTTGGTGTTCCTTCCTTCCTTCCTTCCTTCTTCTTTCCTTCCTTCCTTCCTTCCTTCCTTCCTTCCTTCCTTCCTTCTTCCTTCCTTCCTTCCTTCTTCCTTCCTTCTTTCTTTCTCTTTTGGGTTTTATTTTGGTTTCAGAGAAAGAACATGAAATCAGGTGGTTAGGGAGATGGGGATAGTTTGGGAGGACTTTGGCAAGGAGAAAAAAAATATGATCAAAATATAGTGTCATGACAATTTTTTAAAATAGTAAAAAAATGTAATAAAAACAAGAACAAGGGCATGGAAAGATGGCTCAGTGGTTGAGAGTACTTGGTGTTCTTGCAAAGGACCAGGGTGCAGTTCCCTGCACCAACATTGGGCAGGTCACAACCACTGTAGCTCCAGTTCCAAGGGGATCCAGTGCTCTCTTTTGGTCTCTGCAGATACTGCATACATGTGGTATACATACACACATGTACGTATACACACACACACACACACACACACACACACACACACACACACACACACACACGCACACACACACACACACGCACACACACATACACACACAGAGGAATAAAAATAAAGAAACAGAGATTTAAGCTTCTTTCCCCCCCCCCTCAAAAATGTTTTTAAAAGAACAAAATGTGGTAGGTACCAGGTGGAGCTGGCCCCCTTCAATCCAGTGGCTCCAACCTCTGTTCTTCTTCTCCCCTTTCTGTACACAAGTGAGTCTGTCATTCTCCCAGGTAACCAAGCTCTGCACGAAGGAAGAGAGAAAACAATGCTTTGCTCTGGCAGCATCCCTAAAAATCACCAAGCAGAATGCATGCCAAGTTAACTGTGTGAAGTTAACAGCCTATGTTACATTTTAAATTTTTTAATTTTATGTGTGTGTGTGTATGCGTGTGTGTGTGTGTTGCCTACATGTATGCATGTGTACTATTGCATGCCTGGTGCTCACAGAGGTCAGACGAGGGTGTCCCTGGACTTGAAGTTACACATGGTTCTGAGCATCCATGTAGGTGTTGAGAATTGAACCCCAGGTTCTCTACAAGAGCAGCCAGTGCTCTTCACTGCCGAGCCTTCTCTCCAGCCCCAAGCCTACGTTCTTTTCTTTTCTTTTTCTAGGGTGATAGATATCTCAGCCGGGCCTCGTGCATGCTAAGCAAGAGCCCTTACCACCTAGCCACACCCCAACCCCTTACCATGCATCTTCTGTTATCCAGGCCTTTGTTATCTTCCTCAAATTCTTCTCCAACTTTGAACTTAACGACATAGTTCCTTAGGCCGCTGTGCGTGTGGATGGTGAAGGAATCCCCATTTTGTTCAATCACCTTCTGTGGCTTCAGCAGCTTGGCGATCTTACGAGTTGCAAAGTCAGTACCTGGAAAGATATTGTTCTTATTATATTTTTAAATATTTCACATTTATTTCATTTATGTGTGGGTATGTATGTGTAAGTCGGGGGACAATTTGTTTTAAAACAGGGTCTCACACAACCTACGCTGTCTTTGAACTTGTAGAGTTGAAGGTGACACTCAACTCCCGATTCTCTTGCGTCCATCTCCAAGGATTGGATTACAGGTGTGTACCATCATGCTTGGCTCAAGATTTTGTTGTTATCGTTGTTTTGGTGGGTTTTTGAGACAGAGTTTCTCTGTGTAACAGACTTGGCTGTCCTGGAACTCACTCTGTAGACCAGGCTGGCCTTGAACTCACAGAGATCCACCTGCCTCTGCCTTCTAAGTGCTGGGATTAAAGGTGTGTGCCTCTACACTGTGTGACTCAAGAGTATTTTTATAAATTTTATCTATTTAATGTGTATGTGTGAATACCTGCCTCCGTTTCTGTGCACCAGGTGTGATGTGTGCAGTGCCCGCCCACAGTGGCCAGACGAGGGCGTCAGATTCCCTGTAATAGGGCATCTGGGAACAAACCCGGGTCCTCTGAAAAGCATCTAGTGAGTACTCTTAACTGAGCCCTGTCAAGAGGACTTTTTAAAAATTGCTTTTACTAGGGGCTGGAGTCTGTTCTATTACTTGAAGGCAAAAGGAAGAGTTTGTTAAGTAGCAAATGTACCAAGGTATGGCAACTTAGGCCTGTAATCCTTATACTTGGGAAGCTGAGACAGGAGGATTTCCTGGAGTCTGAGACCAGCCTTGTCTACATAGGGAGGTCCAGGCCAGCTTGACCTACAAAATGAGACAGACAAATAAAAACCCAATCAAAAAAAATCCTAGAACAAGCCCTGCCAAACGGACAAGAATACCGCACATGTAATAATAGATGCTGATACCCGCCAAATCTGTAAAATCAGAACAAGCGGAACAGACTCAGCCTGCCGGGGCAGCAACACTTCCTGAGACCTTGGGAAGCAGGGACAGCGATCAGACCCCCTCTCGTGGACCCATGCACCGGACTGGTGGCCACAGAGTTTAGGGTCCGGGCTCAGCTCTCCTACTGCAGGCATGGGCAGCTCAGGCTGACTCTGCCCGCTCATTTGCAGGAGTCCGCAGTGGTCTTCATTACCCATGGAGCAGGCTCTGCTCTGGAGGGGGAACTGAACTCCCGAGATTGTAGCTGATGTCAGCCTGGGTCAGAGCCCCGGCCCCCGCCTTGCTCAGGATACCCAAGCTGGTCCCGACCGTCCCCACGCAGACAAGACAGGAGGGACAGAGGAAAGAGGATGGACAGAGGGGCTAAGACGGGTGCGGGGACTCTAGGACAAGGGCAGGACTGACCAGTCAAGAGCATAACCCACGGGAGACAGAGGACCTGGAACAGACAAGACAGGACAGGCTGCCTTCGCTCAACCCCCAGACCCGAAACTAGAGCCTTGCTCCCCTCCATGGTCCCCTAAAGCTGTACAACCCTTGAGTCCTACCCAGGGCCAGCATGTAGCCCTCGAAGTTGTCGCTGCTGAGAAGGTTCCAGGTGCCGCTGAGGTCTGCTGGCATCGTCGGGGGTCGGCAGCCAAAGCCCGAAAGTCACAGCCAGTTCTGCCCTATATTGTCAGTGGGGCGGGGCCGGGGCCAGGGTGGGGCCGAGGGGGACAGCAGGCCGGGACAGCCAAGCTGGGGGGAAGGGAGCCCTGGAGGCACCCTGCTGGCTCTCCCTCCTCCCTTCCTTCCCCACCCGCTTCTGGTTCCAACCTTGCTCCTGTCACATCCTACCTTGGCAACCCCTATTTCCCTTGGGACTCCCTCCTGTCGTTTAACTCTAAACACTTCCGAACCCAGACTGTGTCCCAGGTCACCCTTTATTCCTCTCCCTCGATGTTAATGACTAAAGAAAGGGTTTCAGACTCATGGTATTAAATACCAAGGCAACACACTGGCATCCCAATAAATAGAAATTTTTACCTTGCTCGAGTTTAACAAATATTTTTTATTTTTGTTTATGTGCATATGTCTATGTGGGTGTATACCATGCGTGTGCTGATGCCAGAAGAGGGCAGATCCCTAAGAGATGGAATTACAGGCAGTCTGCAGCCTCACCCACCCCACCCCATGGATGCTGAGTACCAAATTCAGGTCCTCTGAAAGAGCAGCTAGTGTTCTTAAGGCCATGCTGCCTGTCTAGTACGTGCCTTGTTTTTGAGACAGGGATTCAGTCAGGCTGCTAACTCACTATGAAGGCCAAAGATGGCCTTGTGAGCTTATGATTCTGCTGCCTCTGCAGGATTACAGATGTGTATCACACCTGTTCACCACACCTGCGCACCACACCTGGTTTATATGGTACTTAGGCTTTAATCCAGAACTTCATGGATAAAAGCCAACTGAGCCACATTCCAGCTTCTCACCCAGCATTTCTGTGACCACTAGACGCCTTAGGTGACACAGTATGGGTGTCTCTGTGATCCTAGTGACCTTTTACCTCTGGTTTTGACTTCACTGTCATGACTTGCCCTTCAGATGTCAGCCAGGTGGAAAAGACCAGGAAATGGCACACACCATTATCCCCTCAGCAGAAACTTCCTTAGCACAGTTCCACTTACTTCTCACCTACCCAATATGTCAATTATCACTGCTAAGGACAAAGGAATCTGGGAGATGTAGTCCCCAGGATTTAGCCTCTACTGCTAAAGGCAAAGGAGGCCAGAGGAGGAGTAGTGAACTAGCCTACATATCAGCCACAGACAGCATCCATATCTGCTGTCTCCAAGACGTACAACCATGCTCATTCCCATAATCCCAGCACTCTGGAGGTAGGGCAGGAAAAACAAGAGTTTAAAGCCATCCTCAGCTACATAATAAGTTTCAACCCAACCTGGGCTGTATGAGACCCTGTCTTACAAGACGAAAAATAAAATGGGGTGGGGGGCAGTAGAGAGATGACTCCGCAGTTAAGAGCACTTACTGCTCTTCAGAGGACTCAAGTTCAGTCCCCAGCACCCACAGGGAGGTTCACAACCATCTGCAGCTCCAGACCATCCATAACACCAGTTCCAGGGGATCAGATGCTGTGCCTTCTAGCCTCTGAAGGCACCAGGCACCTCTGTGGTACACATACATATAAGCAAGCAAAACACTCATACATATAAAATAAACCTTTTTTTTTTTTTAAGAAGTGAATTTAGGACCAAGAAGGGGCTCCATAGGTAAAGAGCTTGGTTTGTGAGCAATAGCCTGTTCCATGAGGGGAGGTTCCAGGCCAATGACAGATTACATCCAAACAAAAGGTGGAAAGTGCCTGAGGACTGACATTCAGTGTTGTTTTCTGACCTCCACATGCATGCTGTACACACACAACCCTACCACCTGTCTTAGTTAGGGTTACTATTGCTGCGATGAAACACCATGACAAAAAAGCAAGTCAGGAAGGAAAGGGTTTATTTGGCTTACACTTCCAGATCATAGTCCATCACTGGAGGAAGTCAGGACAGGGACTCATGCGGGCTGAAACCTGGAGGCAGGAGCTGATAAAGAGGCTATGGAGGGGTGCTGCTCACCGGCTTACTTCCCCTGGCTTGCTCAGTCTGCTTTCTTATACAACCCAGGAGCAGAAACCCAGGGATGATACCACCCACCATGGACGGGGCCCTCCCCTGTTGATCACTAATTGAGAAAATGCCTTACAGCGGGATCTCATTGAGGCATTTCCTCAGCTGAGGCTCCTTCCTCTCTGATAACTCCAGCTTGTGTCAAGTTGACATACAACACCAGTCAGCACAACATCTGTACCCCAAACCCTGAAATTCACATCTTCTCTTTCCTGCACATGATCCCCCAATATTCTCATCCTCTCTCTCTCTCAACCCTCCTTCCTTCCTTCATTGCACACTTCTTTCTTCGTTCATGCTTTGTGTGTGCGTGTGTAAGGGGAGTGGGCATTACTGGAGATAGGCTTGCCAAAGCTAAGCTTGAAATCTACCAATAAACTACCCTCACCCCCAGGCTCTCACCCAATTCTTCTTTACTTGGTTTCTTCCTACCTCCCTGACAGAATTACATTCTGTCTCTTCCAACTTATTAACCTCAACTACCCTATTTTTTAAAAAAGATTTATTTATTTTGTTTTATGTGTATGAGTGTTTTGCCTGGATGGATGTGTGCTCACTAAACGTGTGCGGTGCCCATGGAGGTCAGAAGTGGGCATTAGAATCCCTGGAGTTATCGGTGGTTGTCAGTCATTAATAAGAGCAGCAAGTGCTCTTCACCACCAAGCCATCCTTCTTGCCCCTACAACGTCATTTTTGTGTTGTTATGGTAAAGATTAGCTCTCTCCTTCCAGATCTTTGCAGTGGGGCACCCCCTCTCCCTGTGGTCGTTTCCCCTGGTCTTTGCAGGGTTAGCGCTTTTGCCTTCTAGTTCAAAGAAGGAACTGTTTCTTCCATTACTGTTCTCTACTGACAGGACTTACCAAGTAGACACACCTGGCCTCCTTTCACACCCCACTTCTTCCTCATGGAGCTGAGATGAGTTTCCCTGGACTAAAGCAGGCCCCAAGACATAGGACTTTACTCTGAAACTGCAATCTGGAAGTTGTCCTTGAGACCACTGAACCATTTTAATCAACTAGATAAAATTAATGTGAAATTAACTTGTAATAGAAAACCTTCTAGGCCTGGAGTTCTACTCAGTTGGTAGAGCCTAGCATGCCCAAACCCTGGGTTCATTCCCTAGCATTGCGCAAACAAGGCATGGTGATACATGCTTACAATTCCAAAGGTCATCCTTAGCGATTAGCAAGTTTGAGGCCAGACTGGGCTACATGAGACACTGTCACAAAAACAAAAACAAACCCAAAGCAAACAAATAAATTAAAAACAAAACACCCCCCCCCCACCAATTTTGAAAGCATCTGTCTTTCTGATTCACAGGTTTTTATTAGGCAGGCTGCTCCAAAGTTGATTAGTAGAATTAGTGATTAAATCTCCTCCAGCAAAAAAAAACTTAGTTCAGGAAATAAAGTGGGCTTGGGGTTTAGGATAGGGCACATAAGGCCCTAGGTTCAATATCCAATACAGATATCTATATCTATATCTATATCTATCTATCTATCTATCTATCTATCTATCTATCTATATATATATATATATATATATATATATATGGAGAGAGAGAGAGAAATATTGAAGATGAGAGAATACTTTGCAGATTGGGCAGGACTCACTGGGGACAGTTCCCCTTAGTTCCATGTTGCATTAGCCCTAGTAAATTGACTTGAGGTGGGAGGGGCTAGAGAAGTCACGTCTAAAAGGGTCCAGGCTCATGATTAGTTGGCTGTGTGTTAGCTGGAAACCCGTGCAGGCTTGGAAGCTGAGGGTTGAGTCCCACAGACTGTAGGCTTTTTATGGGCTGTTAGAACTCCCAGACAGCATGGGAGGCCAAGTTCTCAGAGAATCCCAAGAGAACCACAAAGCTGCTGTCATGTCTCCTATAAAATGGTCTCAGAAGCTGTGTGACATTGCTTCTGCCAGAATTCAAAACAAGGAAACTGGACACAGGGCTGGGGTGCAGTCAGTGGTAGAGCGCTTGCACCATGGCCCCGGGTTCTGTGTCTGCACCATAGAAGCAAAGGGCATGTTTTGGTTTTGTGACCTATTGCTCTGATGAGATACCCCAACAGAAGCAACGTAGAGGAGGAAGAGTTTGTATCAACTCTCAATTCAAAGCTATAGCCCAACCGTGAGGGAACGTGACATTCACAGTCAAAAGCCGGGCGAATGCCTGCCTGTGCTCAGTTCACTGTCTCCTTTCACACAGTCCAAGACTAAACTCAGCCAGTGGTACTGGGTCTTTCCATGTCAATTAACAGCCATCATGGACACCCACAGGGACACAGTTAGCACTAATTCACGACTGACTTTGTTAAAAACATCTTTTAAAATAATTTGAGCATGTTATGTGGCATGCATGCACATGCACACACACACACACACACACACACACACACACACACACACACACACACACACACACATTCCATGACATGCACTTGAAAATCAGAGGACACTTGTGGGGCTTAGGTCCCTGCTTCTGCTGTACGGGTCCTAGGGATCAAAGTCAGGTCAACAGACTTGGTCACAAACACTCTCTGAGCCATCTTGGGATCCCAAGGTTCTATTTTTTTTTAATTAATTAATTTTTTATTTGCATTGGTATTTTGTCTACATGTGTGTCTGTGTTGTAGAATATTATTTTAAGGGGTAATACCTTTTTGTTTTGTTTTGTTTTTGAGACAGGGTTTCTCTGTGTAGCTTTGGTGCCTGTCCTGGATCTCACTCTGTAGACCAGGCTGGCCTAGAACTCACAGAGATCCACCTGGCTCTGCCTCCCAAGTGCTGGGATTAAAGGTGTGTGCCACCACTGCCAGGCGGTATTACTTTTGTTTATGTTGCATTTGCTTAACTCTGTGAAACTGTTTCTTTGCCTGTCTAAAACACCTGATGATCTAATAAAGATGGCCAGTAGCAATGCAGGAGAAAGGATAGGGGAGGGTGGCAGGCAGAGAGAATAAATACAAG